TAACAGGCACAAGTCCAAGGCAACCCGTGAGATTGGGATTGTCTGAACCACTTTTAGACAAGAATAAAAGAAGACATGCTACTCACCGGTCAATTCGATGACCCAAAAGGCAGCATTACTTGATGAAGTTCCTCCGCGAGGCCCTTGATTACTAGAAGACACAGTGGCAGATGATTGAGGAAGTCCTGTGCGGGGGTCGAGCCCTCGAACCAATGCAAGGCTGGCCCGCAGGTAATGACCACGCTCAACTCCTGCCGGTGCAAACACAGTGCCAAGTAGGGAAGCAGTCCGGGGTAGACTGAATGTCAGCTGACAAAATGGGTATTGAGACGGGCGCATGTGTTGAATAAAAAGAGGTGTGATTATAGGATAAAGCAAGCTATAATATTAAAGCTGAAAAAAGAGTGCGGAAAATTATAAAATCCATAGAGATGAATTTGGAAGGGGCGCTAATAAGTAATCATTTTGGAGTAGTACCAAGTAGCTCAAAAAAGATTCAATTGGAAGATAGGTTTAGAGAACAAATAGGTCGAGCAAAACCAATATGTATTGATAAAAAGATGCTTAGTAAGATTATATGTGATAGAAAGATATCACATATTATATTCATATATCTGCTATTATCTTAAAAAAAGCAAAGTTAATTATACCTAAAGCTTACCTTTGGCTTCAGTTGAATATGAGAAACTTCATAGCGAAAATCTGGAAGTCGAGATACCTGAAAATTAAATTTAAGTACATTAGTTGATGTAGTTTAAATTATGTTACAAGTCACATTTTGCCATTTAGCGTTAAAATAAATGAATAATACTAAATGGAAAGTCAGGTAAATGCCTATAGGTTCACTAATTATGCCAAACTTGCAATAAAATGTAACCTAAAAATGAAAATGTCGATACGACATTTATATGAAAGCATTATTTATATAGAACAATTTGAAAAGGAAAAGTAATGGGATAAAGGCTGTAAGAAAGAATCGATACGAGGAGGAATATAAAATTAAGTGCTCAATATGAATAAAAAATAAATCCTATTGGTATCCTTCCAAATTAGCAAAATAAATGAGAAATCTCGCAGTTAAGAAAACCCCAAGATCCGACTTGTAATTTCAAAATCTCAAAATTTGAGGATGTGCGTCTAAACCATATGCATAGGATGGTATCGCCACTAATAAGCATTGTCGTTAACAGCCACCCAAGTAAAAGCAAGCAGACATTTCTCCTTATCGCACACAAACATATTTGTCTAGGATTTCTGTTTTTAGGACCACTTATGCTTTTCCTAACTAGGAGTCTACAAATGCCATTAGAGAAAGAGGTCATCTGATATATACTTCCAAAACTTTTATATGTCTGTAACCTATCCCAGACTCAAAAGTTATGACATTTCGAGAGATCCTCTCAGTCTCTACCCACTTATTTACAGGTTAAATCTTATGCACATCTGCAATGCCACATGACTATACATTGATGTATTCATCATATCAAAGTGGGTCCGTATCTTACCTTAACTTCATTCATGTGTAGCACAGGCGAAACGGTCTTCGTGACACTATTTAGTTGGTCGATCCACGAGTCTACGTGATTGCATGGGGCACCAGCTCGCCGGGACCACATGGCAGTATTGACAAGGAAGGGGGAATGCGGCCAGACTCGTAGGGTGCCCGCTACACTGCCCGAAGAGATATGATCAAGTGGTTGTCGAAGAATGTAGGGATAGGAGGAAAGAGGGATGGTCTGAAGGCAAAAGGGACGATAAAATTTAAACAAATTGAGAACCAAAATGAAAGAAAAAGGGATATAAATAGGAGTAGGTATATAAAGATGGAAGTAAAATGTAAATTAAAGTCAATATTCACATAAGATTATTCATCAACAAAATTACTAAAGGCACATTAAAATGACCAATTATACATAAATATTTGAAATAAATTAGAGTAGGTCGAATGTATACAAACAGATAAAAACATACCGAAGTAAGCACTTGTCTTAGGGCTTGGGGAATTTTCGTAAAGCATGGTTTCCTGCTATGATTATGCCTGTCGTATGACAGATGAAGGCTAGGCAAGGATTCTTTTTTTCCCCTTTTATAAGTAGGTTTTCGAGAGTAAAATAGGATCATATATATGTAATTATCCGACTCATTTCATTAAGGTGTGAAGGACTGGTAGTTGAATTTTCCCACAATGAGTAGGTCTTGTGTTTAGAGTTAATTTCAGATAGCCTTGGTTCCTAGAAGGTATTCTTATCGGAGGTGGAATGCAGTTTCAACCTCGCATAGATCTCATCAGCACTCCTTGCGGGACTCGAATCCTAGATATCCAATCTGAACACGTTAACCGCTATACCACACTACCATTGGTCACAGGAAAGATGTGAATTTCAAGGAAAGCCAGGGCTTTTCCAATATAACATTCTGTGGTAGGATTGCCGATGAAACAATATTGTATTTGCTATGGCAATCG